TATATATATATATATGCATGTATGTATAGGCCTATATAGACACATTATTATGTGTGTCTATAATATGCATATAAATAAGTATAGGCCTATGTATATTATACATACACACACATATACATACAAACGTATGAGAGTTTGCATACAGACATATGAATACAGATACATGCATAGGCCTTTATTTACTGTATAGGTTATGCAACTTGGCATTACTGTAGCATTGAGCATTAAGGGGTATTTTAGATTACTGGAGATGAAATCTGTGATTTAGTCTTTATTATAGCAAATATTTCCATTAACAAATTTAAGCATAAGAATTGGTGGGTGGTTTGTAGGAGGGTTGAGGAGGCCCATAAGTGGCTTGTGGGTACTGGGCTTCACCCTCGTAGGTCACATCAGCCACGTAACCGGAGTCTCCGTTGACAGTGTAGGTGACCTTCTGCAGACGACCGTCGGGAAGAAGGACGTAGTAGGATCCCTGTGTGTGGTCGCCATCACGGGCTTCCTGGTGTCCGAAGTCGTTGCCAGATGCTGGGTCGTTGACGGCGTAGTTGAAGTCGTACTTTGCGGGTGCATAAGAGGGTGTGGGAGGAGAGTAGCCATAGGTAGGCGGGCTATCTGGACGGGCGATGGCGACGACCACAATGGCAGCCAGTGCGAATACCTGCAACGCATTCAGTCAGTAATTATCTTATTGTAAGCAAGGGTGGCACGTACACATACCTGCAATATATCATCGCTTACGTAGAGTTTATCGTATTAGCGATATTTAAATGCCTGAAAGATTGTGGATATACATGCCTTGAACGCCATGTTGTGAGAATGGAACGAGTAAGACTGGTGAGGTCGGAAGGAGTCCTTTCCTTTATACTGAGGGATACTAAAGGCTCCGCCCTTACTGTTTCACCATCTCATGCTTACCTTGACTTCTTTGGAGATCGAATGCATCTCCTTCGCTGTCTTTTCACCGGAGAACAATGTTAGTTACTCTGAAAAAAAAAAAAAAATGGACATTTTAATTTCTTTAACCAATGAAAATATTAAAGCTATAGATAACTGATGAACAGAACAGAAATATCATGGCATTAGATGGTGGGTCACATATATATGATCAATATCGCTTTTCTTCATATACAAGTATTCCCTTTATCTTTATGAGAATGTTCATCAGGCGTTCATATTTCTCGTGTTGCGTCACTAGGTTTTCCCTCCGGTTGTTTCATGGAATAAGTTTCATTTTGATGGCGTGTGGTTAATTTTTGCATAAGCATTACTATGCCGGTGGAAAGTTAAATAGAGCAAATTGATTACCAAAACTTTCAAGCTGACCACACAAACTGAGATTTTAGTACTATTAGTTTTATACTTGTAAAAGATGTAATATAAAAAGTATTATTTTAGATTGAGTAGAATACTAGTAAAAAGTATTCATTTACATGTTTAATACTATGAATATACTATTAATTATACGAACTGTAAACGCTTTTAAGAGACAAAATAAATTACTTCAATTCTTTTAAAATCTAAAAGTAACACAAAGAAGATCGAATTTTAGTTTTATTCACGGCATTAATGAACAATTCTAACTGGTCTCACAAAAGTCTTAAGCAGAGATTCCAATGACCCAATTTTCTTTCCAGATCAAGGCTATGGATTACCTAAATAAAAAGCTTTTGTCAATTCTACACCAGCTAAACCCAAGTTTATAAAAGTTGTACGAGTCTGGTGCTTTGCTGCTAGTACACATAATTTAACATAAATTTAAAGGGTAGAGTGTTATTGCTAAGGGACATTGCCGTCAGCACCATCAAGGTATATATGCAAGGCTTACTGGTAAATTCAATTATCTTAAAATATCTGTTATATGTGAAATATAAAGTTGAGAAAAGAAAGGTCAATCTAACAATTTTGGTTCATGCAATAAATATGTATGGTAAATAGATACACGCCTAAACTATTAAAGCAGGGAAATCTTGTTTCAACCCATCATGGGGTGCAATAAAATAGTAGAAAGCTGCAAATGAGATCGGTGATTTGCCATGATTAGTGTTTTTTGAACGTATGCGGTAATTAATTTTCGAATATCCTAGACAAGTCCTTTTGGTACGGGAGAGACTGGTGATTGTAAGCGCGATGAGAACCAAACTGTTATTATTTTGATGACATGTTTCATTATTCTATTGGCCAACTCTTTGTAAACACTCAAAAATTCTGTAATAATTATAAACGTAACACTGTAATTAACTGGTGAATTAATGATTGTAAACTTTATTCTCAAAAGTTGGGGTAATCTCTTTGCTTCCTTGGTGTCTAATGAGCAAATGCTATCTACTAATCCGAGACCGCTATATTCAAAATGACCACATATTTCTATAAGGTTATTCTTTGGTAAGAAAAAATATCCTCCATTAAGAATTATATAAATTACCTCCAAAAACTTACGTTTTCAGCCTAGGGTGGATCAAGATATTTGGAGAGGGATATACATTACAGCTAAGCATTAGAAAGTGTTCTTTAATTAATAATATGTACATTATTTCTTCATAACTTTCGAATGAAAACACTATAAATTTTGAATCTATGCGTTTGATGCTACACAAGCTTAAGAGTTAGGCAAGGTATGTAAAAGTGTTATAGTTCTAGTTTGCTCATTTATTATGTAATATATACAAATATTCACGATCTATAAATATTCTTGGAGAACATGGACTATAACGATATATGGCTGATAATTATCCAAACATATTTTAAGCATAGGATGGGGTGGGTGGCTTGTAGGAAGGCTGAGGAGGACCATAGGAGGCCTGTGGGGTGGGGTACTGAGCCTCTCCCTCGTAGGTCACATCAGCCACGTAACCGGAGTCGCCGTTGACGGTGTAGGTGACCTTCTGCAGACGACCGTCGGGAGAAGGACGTAGTAGGATCCCTGTGTGTGTCGCCATCACGGGCTTCCTGGTGTCCGAAGTCGTTGCCAGATGCTGGGTCGTTGACGGCGTAGTTGAAGTCGTACTTGGCGGGTGGTGCGTAAGAGGGTGTGGGAGCAGAGTAGCCATAGGTAGGAGGGCTATCTGGACGGGCGATGGCGACGACCACAAGGGCGGCCAGTGCGAATACCTGTCAAAAAATATTGATATGATCATATTTATGTACTTGCTTCAGATAAAGTGATTATTGTTTCATCTTTTTAGAATTATCTACATTAAAAGACTAACTATTTTTAACATATCTAACAATATATGTATATGAACATA